CCCTTGCTGATCTGGCTTTGTTTTTTGTTTTGTGTGGGTTTTTTTGGTTTGTTTGTTTGCTGTTTTTTGTTCTGTTCAGTGCAGATCCAGCGGCCTTCTTTCTCCTCTGGCAGATCTGTGGTAGGCGCACGAGAGCTGCCAGATTTGACGCCCACCGCGGCTCTCTTGCTGGTTCGAGGGACTGTCGCCGCCTGATTGGGTTACCGCCTGGATATCCTGCCGCCACCCCCTAGCCAAAACGACGTTGTTTTGGCTGGGGATTCTTTTTTTTTTTTTCCTTCTTGCATAATGTATCAGTCAAATTCCGATGTACTGGATGGTACTCGAAATTTTGGCCGGTACACCGAAATTTGACCGGTACACCCGAAATTTGACCGAAATGGAATCTTAACATATTCTGTTTCAATTAACCTTCAAAACTGGTACATATCGACCGTACCAGTCGATACGGTACGGTACGGTACGGTATTGACTCCTTTGACTGTAACCCTAATCGTAGAACGGACAATTATTCATCATCATTGGGAGAACGAATTCTCTCTAGTTTTTTGAACAACTTTTCGAACTTATCAGAATTATCTGTGGCGTTCATCCTCGATTTATTAATCAACCCTTTCATAGTTGATTGTGGCGTTTTCTCCATACTAAGTTTCTTACTTTGTCATAGGTAACGGGTCACGGTTCCATTCCTTCGATCTTGTCTTAAAAACGGTGTTGGTGCCTTGTCTTGTCTATGGGTTTCGTCACAGGTTGGCATAGTTTGTATCACCCCCAATTGTAGCATTGAAACAAATTGTCATCTAAAAGAAATATTGATGCAATTTATGACCCCAAATTTCCATTTCAAAAAATTAGTCCAAATTTAATGATTACCATTAACTTTCTGTCAGACTTTAAGAGCAATAGTTTAAGGAATTTAATGGTAATTGTTAAAATTTGGAAAATTTCTTGAAAATGAAAATTTAAGATGGCAAATTGAGTTAACATTTTTTTTTATGGCGACTTGCTTTAACGCAACAATTTTGAGGGATAATTTGCACATTTAGCCTTAGAAAAACAATCCCACCATTTTCTTAGAAGAGCCAATGTAACACCTCATATACTTCAGTGAATAGATTAAAAATTAGTTCTTTATTTTATAGTTTTAGGGATTAAATCAATTAGATATAAAGTTTGGGGGTTTTAAGTAGAACTTAGTAAGAGTTGAAAGACCTTAACTCAATTGTTCCAATTCTTTTTTTTTCCAAATGGCATTATATCAACCGAGAACCATTCTGTTGGACTTAAAATAAAGGTCTTTAGAAACCTCTATTTCCCTTGCGTCTTCCTTTCTTCTAGTCGATCCCCTGCATCTTTCTTCCTTCTGTTTTCAACCAAGAGTGATGTGTAGGGACGCACTCTTCAATTGAAATCCCTTTCAATTTCCATTGTTCTCTTCAATTTAGTGTTTTGATTTTTAAGTAAGTATAAGTTTTAGTTATGGATTTGGGTTAGAGGTTTGGGTAGGTTATAAATTTATTACAATACACTAAAAATTAGTTTAAATTAGGGAGATTTGGCCTCAAATCCTTAATTTAGGAGACTTTTTGAGCATTAAAATTTCATTAGAAATATATGATTTTTTGGGGCTTGTACGGGATAGACTTCCTACTAAGTTTTATTTTTTTTTCATGCTTGTTTTACTGTGGGTTTTATGGTTAACTAACTTGCAGTTGTTGCTTTATGCTCATTGCATATTTTGTGTGATGATCTCTTGGGTATTTGCAAGATTTAATGAGAATTTGCACTTTTAATTAGAGTTGCTTATATTGTGCGTGAATTTGGAAGAGAACTAGTTTCTTTTTCTCAATTACTATTCATGCACTAAACTTTAATTATTTTGAGTAGGAAATCTTGTGGAATATGTGAGTTATGCATGTGGATATTAATATGAATCTTTTTAGAATGCACTGACTAAGTAGAATATTAAATAAAATAATAGTTCTATATTATTTTGGATGAGTTTTGAATTTGTTTTACATGTGTATGTGTTTGTGGCTATGGAGTAAGTGGATCTAAGTTTAAAGCTTAGGGTATTCAGTGGATCTTTCGGGGTATTTAGTGGACCTCTGCGCAGTTGGGTGGGTGCCGTGATTAGTTTCAGTACAAATGTTGTTAGCACATGTTAGTGGACTCCATAACATTGTGTGATTTTTGTTTTATGCATTATGCTTGTGATGTCATATTTGTGAGGATGCGATTTTTATTATATGAATTTGATTTAAATGTCATTAGTTATTTCTTGACATGTTGATTATCAATGAGCTGATTTGGGATATTAAATTATTATTTAAATACTGAGATTTATAATATTATGTGGCTTGGTTCAATTGTCTCTTATGCCCTTTATGTGTATAGGTCTAAGTGTCGTAGGACCTAAGTTTGTAATTTTAACTTATTACTTACTGGACTTTTAGCTCATAATATTTTTCCCCCATTTCAAACCTGTAGATTGTAGTAGCCGTCACCAACTTAGGAGCTTCGGCAGAGGTCCTGTATACTCGTTATACGTAGAAGTTAGGACCTCATGCTTTTGATATGGAGGTAAATTAGTGTGTTATCAAAACGATGATTCTGCTTTTGTTATTTTGAAAAGCTTTTGAGAAGAATTTGCTCTCATATAATTTTTGTGTAAATTACTTTTATGTATATAATATTTAAATTAATTAAAATGAGTTTAGCTTAATTTATTTTATAACATTGAGTATTTTAACATTTTTTTAAGATATTTTTTTGTTAAAATAATTTTCCTTTACAGGTAATTGACTTTCTTTCTGTAAAATTTTAATTTGATTTGAATGCAAGTTTCCTTTTAAGGAAACATTTTATATTAGAAATGTTTCTACTTCCGTGGCAATCTTTTTTTATTATAGTTCTTATTTCAGGACTCCTCTAGGACTAAGGGAATCTAGGGGAGGCATGTTATAGCCAAGTTCTTTAACTTAAGATTAGGAATACCTAAACCCCTAACTCTTTATTTAGAGTCACTTTATCCCAACTAACGTACGTCATTTTTCCATTTTCCTTACAACAACAACCCCATGGAAATATTCTTTGCATGCTAATGAGATCACTGAAGACATTTTTGGCATTTTAAATAAAGAAAAATAATAAATAGGCAAAGTGGAAAGAACCAACCTTAATCGCATAACCAACCGCTTATAGACATTTCTTTCACTATCCAAGTCCCCAACTTTTTCTTGAACTTCTCTTAAACCAGTTACCACAATTTCTTTCTATCCATTACCTCCCCCACAAGTATACCAAGGAAATAAAAAGGAGTTGAATTATTCTTGCAATTAAGTGATGTTGCGGCAAGCATTTCCTATTGATTTTCTATATTCAAGCAATACAACACACTTTTCTTCAAGTTAATCTTCATCTTGAAGCCAACTCAAGCCATCTCAATACTCCTTTTATAGCATGAATGTTTTCTGATGAAGCTTCACCCATAATGACCATGTCATTTACAAATTGCAACTGTATTGGAGTATGACAAAACAATCTTATATATTTGTGATTATATTAATTATATTTATGATATTTTTTCTATTGAATATTAACTGTTATTCTTCTTCATATGTTAAATATCGATAGTCCTTAGAATGTTTGTTGTATCAAAAGGTAATGTCAGCCATTGCTATTGATAAGAACTATATGATGTGATAGTAACATTATTAAATTATTCGTTAGTCATATATATTATTGAGATGAGACATCAATAATGTAAAAACTAAAATGTGTGATTCTTTATTTAGGTGACAAAACTTTTTCTCATGAAGTCATATATCACATGTGAGTGACTCAAAGCAAGTGAGTACCCTTAACTTATCCATGATGAGAACTCTAAATGCACATGTCATTAGTAGCTTCTCAAGTATAATATTGGTGTAAGTGATGCTTTAACTTGTAATCATCATTATTCTATACAAAAACCCGTATACTTGATGTTATGAAAAACAATCATTACAAGGGGTTGCAGGCAATACAGTTATTAGTGCATCACGAATTACATGAGAGTAATAGGTGAGTTAAGATACATTTCATTCCTCTCGAGTTTATGAGAAAAGATATTGAGTCCAAATAACTCAAAAAAAAAAAAAAAAGCAACACTAACTTAAAATAATGCAAAATATCACAAAACATCAACTTGCAACAAATTGTGACTAAATCGAGCAATTTGACCTAAATTGTGCAATTCGGTCCAAATGACCTTAAATAAGTTGTTCTTGGATTTGAATGATATTTAGTAAGCCTCAATGATCCTTCTAGCTTTAATTTACTTGTTGTGCATTACTTTTAGCCTAACTTTCCTTAATAAGTCCATTTGCAGTTTCTTGCATTTTTTTAGCTCTAACTTTCATTATCGAATTTCCTTGAATACACAATAGATCACTTGACATCATACTCATGTTGTCGTCTTGATTCCCATAAGAAAATCTTAAAAACTAAAAATGATATGTTTGTTTAATTAAATATAGTGTCTTATATACATGTAAAATACTTGACGTAATTTTTTTATTTAATCTTGAGTTGCACAATGGAAAACAACCTTTTCCCATCCCTTAACCCATCTCATTCGCATGCTATGAACTTGAATTCAAACCCTTTTATTTCTAATAGAAAAAGATTACACTAATAATTTAATTTAAGTTGTTGGTAAAGACTTGACGTAATTGATAGAGTTCAAGCCTTTAGGAATGAATGTCGATAACCTTTGGCAATTGTCTCCAAAATAAAAACATTTTTACAAAATAATAATGTAGTGGAGATTAAAAGACACTGAAACTATGACAATGTAATAAAGGAAGCAAATACCTATGGTTTAATAATGTAATAGAGTTCATTCATTCACCTATTGACATGTGAGCCAAGACCCAAGAGAGAAGATGTTATTTGAAGAGGCCTAGTCTTCAAACATATGGTCCAAAGTTTTTCCAATCACTAATTGGGCCCAAAATTGCCCACCATGTTTCTTTCCCTTGTTCAGTTACTCAACTTCATTCGTATTGATTGTTTCAGATCAGGGTGAGCATTAGGTTACTTGCAAATACCTTACCCATTTAGTGATGGCAATGAGTCCCCGTGAGGGTGTGGACCTTCTTTCCATCCCCATTTCCACCATTGGCAGATATGGGAATCTTTGTAGGGATTTTTTATGAAAGGTAAAAAATGTTTTCCATCCCTATTTTTGTGAGGAATGAAGGGTTCTTGCAGATATAGGGAATCATGGGAAAGTATGGTTATAAGTGAAAATACTTTGATTCATTCAAGTTTTAGCCCATTAAAAAAAAAAGTCCAAAAGCATTTTAGAAAAACTAGTTATTTCTAATTATTTTTTTTTTTTTGCAAAAGGAAATCAAATTAAATAAAATTAAGTAAACT